GGGGGGGGGGGGTCTTTTTCCGTGCGCGGGCGCGGCGGCTTTCGAAAGCGGTGTCCCTTTAAGCTGTCGGTGAACGGTGGAATATGCTGAGACGAAGGAGATCGTTGACAGACGAGTAGACAGAGAGTCTCTCCTCTCGTCGTGTGTGTCCACGGTGAACGACGGACGGGAAGTCGTCCGCCGCTCGTCGCGCGGCGGCTAATGTGTGACAAGTAACTAAGGACCTAACCGTCTAACCGTCTGACTAGCACCGACCGCATATTAATAGATCCTAATACGCGAGCGCGCGCGCGCGCGCTCGCGTATGTTGCTCTTAAAGCTTGGCAGCATTATGTCAGCCGTTTGTTCTCCGAGACTATAAGGGCCAACTCGCGACCGCGCGCAGCGAGCCCGAAGTGCCGACGTCATCACTATCGTCATTTTCGGAAGGAAGATAGACGGATAGGTCTATTCAGGCCTGGGACAAAAATCCCTTAGACCACGTTAGTGATGAGAGTGCAACATGCAACGGCTAATATGTGGAAAAGACACTTACTCTTGACTAAATATAATTGCCGCGACAAAATGTTAATGTTACACCCCGCCCAAGCATACAAAAAGGAGCCATGAGTTGTAGAGCAGGCAGCAAAGAAAACCAGTGTAAAGACCGGCCACTTTGGAAGTGGATACACTGATCTGTTTTGCTGTCTGTCCATACGTGAACTTTTAGAATGGAGCAAACAAACTTGATCCCCTAAACAGCAGAACCGACTAAAATATGCCTTAAAGACATCCAAAAGACTTAAAAAAATCGTTTCTCCTAAGCGGGATCTATAATGAAAACTTAAGCCATAAAACTTAAGCTTTAAGCGTGAAGCTGTAAGAAATTAACCAATTACAGTCAAATATATGGAAAATAACTGACAGTGATTGGTCAATTTTTTAAGGTTTTAGGGTTAAAGCTTAAGTTTTGTGGCTTAAGTTCTCATTGTAGACTCCGCTTTAAATGCCTTTTGGGCATCTTTAAGACACCTTTTCGTGTTGTCTGGAACAAATCTCTCAGCAATAGCATTCATACCACTGCAAATCACAATAGAGAGACAGCAAATGTTTCGGTTGAGGCAACTATGTATGAGAGGACATATTATTGAACACTACGTATCATAAGAATGTATCATATCATAAGAACTATTGCTGTAAGAACTAGCTAGATGGGCACACGACAACAGCAGTTCTTAATAAGATATCTGTTGAAGTTGAATTCACACAAATTTTCTTCTAATCACAGAGAATGCGGTTGTAGCAACCAT